TTGTCTGAGGTGGTTGTAGAGTTGGAAGAGATTGAGGCGGTGGTGGTGGCTGGGGTGGAAGTGGAGGTGAACATGAGCAATATCCTTCAGACCCGGTGTTGGCTATCGTAGCAACATCTACATCATGGCATGCACAAATGACTGGTTCGCCGCAACAAGGTGCAGTCGGCACGATTCGACTAGCCTTTGACTGTTCACAAATGCACGTTCGATTGAACGATTCTAAGTAGGCCAAGTACGATTCACGTTGCTCTTTTTCTTTCATTGTATTAAAATTACTATTATCCGGGCGACAGTCTACCGGGATTTGACGACATCCACAAGCTGGACATTTGGGCCTCGCTGGTTCCGGGATGCAGTTCCAATTCATGGTATGCTTGACGTTGTCCAAATTGGCATCCTTACAAATAGGGAGTTGCTTCGCATCTGGCCACTGACGTTCAACAATTTCACCCGGATCGTGGTGTTTACTCTTTCGAGTTCGCGATGTTCGACGCATACTTGTGAAGCTTTCAACTTCATCTCAGCCTACTAGATGTCATATGCTTCGTAGAGGCGAGTTGTAGATGAATCGATGAACCCGTATTGACTGATTCGTGAGCACGCGTGAATTTGATGTCCGCTGATTCACGTGAGCCAGGCAGAAGGAACACAAGAAATATAAGGAACTAGGAACTACCGTTGACCAGAGAGGATAACGATTTGTAAAATTTCATTAGAATAAGAAGTGAAAGGAAACAGTTATGCACAAAATATATGACATATAAAAAATAAAAAGGTAAGGAAAAATTTAAGTTTAATAGTGGGTTAATCAAAGAAATGTAAACAGAACAACGAACAAGTAATAGACGAAAAGAATACCACAAGACCCAATGAAAGACTTGAGGGAAAGAAATAAAAAGACAGAATTGAAAGCATTAAAAATTAATGCAGTTAATTGAAAAGAAAAAAGCCGGGTAAAAAAACGAATTTGAAGGAAAAAGATACAAAGTCATGGGAAAATAAAAGATAGAAGAGGGAAAAGCTCAAATGAAAACCGAAAAAGAACGTCCGTCATCACACAAGAAACAAGAAAGCCTCGCCATGAGAGGACTAAATCCGTGGACAGAGGCGTCATCCGATATACTGTATGTAAAGGAATAGCACAACAAAGGTTACCAGAGTCATACCATTGTCCATAAACCTGACACATGCACCAACTCCACACATGTCCGGATGTTTTACCATAGATGGTTTATCAATACAAAAGCTTAGATGGAAGTGATCTACCGAGCAAACGATGCATAAATAAAATACCTCATATTACTGTGGGAAACATTCAACCACGAAACTAACTCTACCTTAAAACAGAATCAATAACTCCAACAACAAATAAAAACTGCTAATCGTTAGGATCGACTTGACTGTTAATACAACTTGAAACAAGCCACTTTGCAAGTATGAAATATCTACTGATATTCCACACTTTACTACAAGACACTTCATCAGTGTGGCCTTCCTGAGGTGACAAAAAATGATTGGTAAACATTGATATTTTAGCATCAATGATATGAAATATCTATTGATAACTGAGTAAAAAAGATCCTTGATCAGGGATGAACACCGAAAATTCCAACCACTCTTTAACGTACCACGAGGTCGTTGTACAAGTTATGCTGAACTAGTTCTGAAAATATGTTCGTATAAGATGATTGTCCTCGAGCAACAACCCGGTGGTCTATCCGAAATTGTTGAGGGAGACGAGGTGTTCATCATCAAGAGAAAATATGGCCGGTGAATGGTGAACCACTCCTTAGGATTCAGCAATCAGTGGACGGGCGTCCACAAGAACAACGAGAACGTTTGTTATAGTTGATTAATGAAGAGACTGAAGGCGATTTTCAGATAGATTGGAGAGCGGATTCAAGCCAGCAAAACGGTCCTGTAAAAATATTTTAAAGATCTTCGCAAGAGCAACATAAGGATCTCAGAGTATGCGACAGAAAGACCTAACTCAACAACAGTCTGGATTTTTTATATCCCCCCCCCCCCAAAAAAACAGAAAGATGGAATTACTCTATTTGATGATCTTTGGGGAAAATATATTATAAACCGTGGTTTGACTACCCATTTTAGATTGAAAATAACTAACGCTGCACGGAGTGTTACCTCTACCCTTTTTATATGAGCACTCTTAACGCACACAACCCGGTAAACAATAATTTCCGTGTTGCGTTTAACAATAACGTCAACGATTAGAATACGGATTTAGTTCAAACTGGTATGAACGCATTACTTTATAAAGAACATGAAATACTCTCTGGTTATCTTGTCACTTCCCCACACTGATGAATACAGCCTATTACTGTACAAATGTTAGGCAATCTAACCATAACACCATAACTTAAATTCACGTGATATCTTCAAAACCCTACTATATGTTGTAAAGCGTATAGAAAACACCGATAACTATCTGAACAGAAATTGTCTAACACACGTCTGCTATAACCGGTCCGGGTGAGAAACCAATCAACCGTAACACTGTCCCTTCAATATGCAAGACAGTTTCCCAAACTCAACAGTATATACCGAATCTCTGGGCCCGTTTATGGATAAGCAAAAAACAATCACCGTCTATGAAGCCAAACCCTGTTCCTGCAATCACTGTCACACGATATTTCCCAAATCTCGACGGGAAGAAACTCCCACAAGGAGAACAATGAAATCTATGTTTGCATTATGTCGATCAGGAACCTGAAGGATCAACTGTCGATTCTTTAGTACTAATTTCTTCAGCCCCATATCGCACTGATACACGTGTATTCCGTGAAATTATGTCTGAGCACTGTATTTGGGAAAAATTAGAAAACTTGAAATGTTCATTTACCCTGAAACAATTAACACATGAAATGTTTTCAAAAATGTAAGCCACTGTGTCAAAACATTAGTTGCCATAAATATATACTCACTAGCAAGTCGGTGAATGGCAATTCGATACCGTTTCACATCCGCTTATAAATATCAATCAACTGTCTTCAGTATTTATAGTGCGAAAAAGTGAATCCCAAAAAGAGACGCATGTGTTAACCAAGTATCCACATCAGTAAGACATCACATAAAACAGAAAATTAATACGAGAGTTTAAACAGTAACAAAAAGAAAATCGTGAAAAAATTGCACAAAACAGCATCAAAGGGATCAAGTTCGACGTACATGAAGATTCTTCACTTGGCGCAAAATGTAAATATTTGTGAAGAAAGTTCTTAAACCTAAGAGACAGCGAGAATCAGCCAACGAATAATAACAGTGAAAACTATCGGAACACAAGATATACATAGAATCGAAAGAAACCACATCAATAAGGAAAATAACATCATGCTACTAATGAGTAGTCAGAAGAAATATACATAATTACCGAAGGACAAAACCCCACGACTAGGACGGACCAAATGTAAAAAGAATAAGGGCGCATCTTATCATCAGGCACCCCAGGTGGTTTCATTATCCTTAGTTCATCCTCCAAGCAGCCATTTTTAAACATTTTCATTATCCTTCCGAGATTTTATCACGAATTTTTTTAATAAATAATTATATATACTTTTACAAGATAAAGAAGAGCATCTTCTCATACTGAGGTCAATGGAACATGTCGTGAGGTCCCAACATACACCAAAAGCCATATGACATCCGAGGACCAGCTGTGTACTATATAAGCAAGAAGAGACTTTATCACCGATATTTAACAACAGCTGTGTACACCGATCGGTGGGTAGCACATGCTCAACTAAGATCCCTGGAATACATAAAGGAGTGAAAACCACACGAACAGGTTTTGAACACAGCAACAACTCAGCACACGGATAACGCAGAATAATTCTGCAGCGGTATAAAATACCGCTTAAAAAAATGAATGCATCAGTTGCATGCGTCCCACGTAGTAGAACATCGCATCGGGTATCAAACTTTGATAGACAAATTCACACGGAACATCACGACAAATGCACACAAAAAAAAAAATAAAACCTGGGAAAAAATCCAATCCAAGGAGAATTAAAACTTCCTTATTATCAGAAAACATCTGCATCCAAAATGATTATAAATCGGGTGACCGACACACAACGCCCACCCTAAGTAAATATTTCAGTTTAAAGACCAAACTACTCATGAGTAGTGTGGTGATGAAAGCAACTAATGTAGGTACCCCGTATACTGGAATCTCATTATTAATAATAACAAAGATAAAGATAATACTAATAATGAATAACAAAAAAAGAAATAGGTATATTATCAAGGGTGAAGTTGACTGATATGACCTAGGACTGTCTACCAATCATCGGGAAATCATACCACATGCAGCTTTCTACAAGGTAAAAAAGTTGGCAAATCACATATCCAACGCAGCCGTAAACAGGGCGCCGTTTTGTACAGGACCGCCAATAGATCAATAGCAATAACACGTTGGTACACAATACAGATTGTATAATCGTCGAGCTCCGGATAAAAAGAAAAACGAAAAACGAATTCCAAACATACAGCAACAACCATTCACACAATCCCAAAAACGGGACAACGCCAGGATCAATTAGTCACTCGGAACTAATTGAAAACAACGCCGATTATCCAACAGGAACAACATTGACAATATGTTTAAAAAA